GTTATTAAATACTCTCTTAGTATTGCCACCTGATTAAAAATAAAATCAACATCTTTCTAACAAAATGGCACAAAGGACTTTGAAAAAAAGCTGTTGTAATGTTAAGTATTTCCCACTAGAGGACACCATATAATTTCCCAACGTGTGGAATTGATTAATTCTTCGCTAGTTTCTAGAAATGTTCCCGCAGTCAGCAATAGCATCCAAACGTTTGCCTTAATTACTAATCAATGTAGTTTAATATCGGGAAAGTCCTACTACTGAATACTGTCATTTTGCCTCTTTTATAATTTAGCGTATCTTAAGTAGGGTTAATTAAAGAAGACAAGGAAACATCCATCCATCCATTTACCAACGAAATGGAAATACATTGGAAAATAAGTTCACGATCCCTTTTTGGTAACTTGGTGGCGGTGTAGGCCTATTGCTTGTTCATAAAAGTTGAAGTCCGTTTGCTGTCTTTCTCTGCGTCTCAGTGGGATTTTAATTAAAATTCATAGTTCGCCATGAAAACAGATGGGGTGGTAGATTGTGTTACATGGAACATAATATTTATTTTGCCATTTTCCCCAAGGACAGTTAACATTATGATATATGGATGGATGCCATCTTTATGGAGAATGTGAAATACAGAAATTTGTGATGCTTTCGTCCTCCCATTGTTAACATGTTTACATAATACTACAATTATTTTATGTGGCCTACGCATTTAAGTCTTAACGGACAAAATACCTTTCAAAAAGTTTTGCTTATAATTTGTTGGTATAGCCTGCGGTGTTATGATACGTATTTGGATTAGTAAGTGGCAACTTTTTTCTTTTCTATTAGCTAGAGTTGTAACTACAGTAAACCTATAGTTTATGTAGTTTATTTTATGGGCTTTCCTGATTTAAAACATGTTTTTTTTAATTATTCATATTATTATAAAATGTAAAAATGATGAAGTTTCAAATTTAAATAATCTCGACCTAAATATTATTCGCTGTGTTGCTGTAAACTATTAATGCAAAGATTCATCAGCCATGAAATCTGATGATAATGAGATATTATTTGAAGATATGATCAACTGGACAGAGCAAAGTTATATATGGTTGAAGCTGCCGTCAGAAATAGTCTAATCTACCGAGTTTTAAATTTTAAGTAATTTAAATTTTTGTTAGCTTAATATGAGTCATTTTGGAAAACTTTATTAATTATGACGAACAAGTTTATGCATTAAAATAGATCGAGCCGAACTATTATATGAGGTGGATTTCTTTCACCGGGTTATTAAAATATTCCAGTGTATTGTAGAATAGAAGATTTTGCAGGCCTATGTACTTTTTCGTATACTTCGTGCAATAAAACAACCACTAGGTGGCGCTTTTATCCTGGAAAGAAAACAAATTTATACAATTTTCCATCGACCTCAGAGAGAAACCTGCAAGTACATTTTCACTGACGTCTTAGTAATTTATTAAATAATAAAATATTCTATAGCAATCTTTTTCAACTTGAGTATTGCGAATTTTAGAACGTTACTCTTTTTGTATTAACTTACAGATGAATAATCCTAATACCGTCTCTTGCACTAATTGCTTTAATTAAACTTCTAGTAGTCATAACCTACGCTATGGTTCATGTAACACACATGCATACTCATATATCAATATGTATCATATATAAGCATGCCCCTGCGCGCGCTCACACACACACAAACCTGTACTTATATCTTTGTGGGGACCATCCATACATTTCCATGGGCATAATCCTAATCACAACTATGACACCCTTAACCCCTACCTAGCTATAACCTTAACAATAAATAACCAGACAAATACAAAACTTTTGGCATTTGTAGTTTTTTATTGCAGTCACAGATATTTATAAAATTGAATTTCCCCATGTGGGGACCGAAAAAATTGTCCCCACAACGTCTGGTTTTTATCACATTGTGGGAACACTTGGTCCCCACAATGTAATGCACATCTGATCCCCCCTCTACATACACATAAACCCTCGCGCGCGCCCACACATATTCAGCAGTCCGTAAATTCAGCAGGTGGCTTTACCTGCGATTCAAAGCCGTTATTGCTAAATCTTGCTTTTAATATGAAAACCATATTCATTCCTCAACCACATCTGGGTCGTGAGCCAAAATATTGTCTGTTCCTCTATACTGGTATGATTTATTAGGCGAAAACACCATACAACTAATCAGCAGAGTAACTAATTAATACAAATCTGCATTTTTGCATAAGCAATTAGTGCGATGAGAGAACAGTGAAATGGGAAGCTGAATTCATTTAATCTAACTCCCTATTGAAGCGGAAAGGCATTGGGGTGATGCACCGGTCTCCTGTTTGGGGAAAATGACTTGATTAGGTGGAGGAAAATGAAAGGTCAGATCATCAATATTTAAATCGCATTGCCACTGCTGGGGAAAATTCAGTGCAAAACATGTACAGCACGAGCCAGAATCTACATTTTTGCTGTAAACCCTTTAAAATGTATTATAATTAGTATTAAACTTATATTAAAATATGGAATAATTCATTTTCCTATTGAAGTTAAATCTCTGCACATCACTTTCATTTTTATAATATTCTTACCTTATTGAAAATCTATCGTAATTATTATTCACCCTATTGGTTATTGATAATGAACCATTCCTTATCACTGAATAATATCAGTGATTTTGAACAATATAATAATTAATCGCTATTCAGTCATTTTAGTATTTGTTCATTTAAAACGTTACTGTTTTCAGTCCGTATCAAGTGCTTGTGGATATACTTTTTATAAGTAAGATGCATTCGTGAGAGGCAAGATTTCCATTTTAACTTGATAACTTGGACAATTATTAAAATAAGGCACTGAAACTAATTAAGTTATTAGAATAATGCAAAACATGACTCATTCGGCATCCTAGTAGTACTACATTATTTTTTATTTGTTTTCATGAGTTATTTCATTGGATCTACTTTAGTGTGCATTTACTGTTAAAGCCTGTGGAGTTGTAGAATACATCAAAAGCTGGATTGATGTGAAACTCTTGAAGCACGAGAAATAATGTAGTTATGTGAGGTAATGAAAGTAAAGAAGCTAAACTGATTCGCGTGTGTGTATATAGTCATCGTCATATGTCGTCATTTGTGTTTATGTATGTATGTATTTATGTATGTATTTTCCTCAAGATCCCTGCTGCTGTCGAGAGTAGCTGTCGGTGGTGCTGAACTGATCTCTCTTTTCGATACTTTAACGCCACGGCGGCCGTGGATTGTACGGTAACCATGAGCTGGCACAAGGCAAACATTCCAAATCAGCGCTTTGCTGATGGAAGGGGGTTTGATCAACAAAACTTGTCGTTTTATGAGAAAGATTAACTGCCCTTCCCCAGAGCTAGGAGGCGCCGAGTTTCTGTGACCACTTCACAGTTACCTGGTTTTCAACCTGCGGACCTGCACCCTGTGCGTTTGACTCAGACCATTACCAGATGTTAAATATAGACTTATCAGAGCTGAGTAAACATGAGGAAGGCAACACTTTTCAAGCTTGAGCAAACGTATATAAAGACTCTTGCTATTTCTCGTGAAACACCAGGCATCAAAATTCTGCAGTGAATATGTTCAAAATATGTTATTGTCTACTTTATTTAACCAGAATTTCATCTCTGGAATGAAATACAAAGCTTAAAAATCAAGAAAAATATATGATTCCAAATAAAAATAACAATTGTTCGGTAGGCATCATTTACTTTAATTAAGATATTACAGCATTCCCAAGAGATATCAAACGGTCTGATTTTGTGTTAGAGAGAAACGCAATATATTTATTAATCTGATCCCGTTAAGGTATAACGTGGTTGATGAATTTTGGCCAGTTATACCGCCTATGACAGAAGATGGATGCGACTATTGACATGTCTTTCAGCAGATTAAATAAAGGCAAAATTATGTTCATGCTAAAATTTCATTATAACCAAAGACAATCGCTGTGTTAGTAACGACCGCCAGCACAACTGTTCCCCCGTTATGGGCCGAAATCAATTAAGTTTTTTTCTTCTTATTGTCTTGGGTTTCCCCATTTATCCTGCTGGCCGTTCAACGGTCACCCCGTCATTTTTCTTAGGGATTATATCAAACTCAATGTAAAACAGTAGATTCTGAACGCTGGACGAGGCCAGCGAGCCGTGAAACAGGCTTTTGTTTGTGCGCGTGCAGCTCGCGTGCCGACCCCCAGTCTGAAAAGAAGAGACTCATTACTGGGGGCTCAGTCCGGACTACACAACTACTGTCTTCAATCAATAGCACGCGCAATTAGAAAGATTACCAGAGATAAGCACTGGACTATTTCAAATAAGCTTAAACCCGCGCTTAGTGTCGGCTGACCCAGTAGCCCTGTGCAAGTTATTTTAGGACACGGTCTAGGCCTATTTCGTAAATAGCATCAACATTAAAATCCTACTTAACGTCATCCTGATAATCATAATCGTACAAATCGCCGTTATTTTGTTGGTGTTATTTTTATTGATTAAATTGTGTAGGCATGCATGGTTATACTTGGGTAAATGGAAATTAACTTGATTAAGTCCACTCTCTGTTTACTAGTTGCTGTGTAATCTCATAGGTTTCATACTCAATCATACATAAGTTGTTAACAAATCTGGTAGTGTAAATTTGAGCCCGTACATGGAAACTGTACGCATGTAACGTGTAGCCAATGCACATAAACCCGCACGTGTGTTCAATGGGATGAGTCCTACAGTATGTTTTTGTTATAGAAGAGAATATGTGTGTGAAAGGGTTAATTCATCCTGCGGGTACAAACAGGTCCGCAGAGTCTCTAACTGGCGACAGATGGCCACTTTCTTTTGGCCACAAAGGGATGGAATAGAGAGCTCTGTTGAATACAAATGGAAGTTGTCACGTGACGCTTGGGGCCGTTTGCCTGACGTAGTTGACCATATGGCGCGTGCCGAAGAAAGAGGTGGAGCTTCCTGACAGTCGTTGGTGCGAGGATATTAACAGCGGCTAGAGGTATACATGCTCATCTCTCAGCATCAGTAGCACCGCTATATAACCTGCGCATCCGTACAGCAGCCTGTCACAACAGACTTCGCAGGACCTCTAACACACCTGGAAGGGCATGCAACTCACATAAGAAGACATTCTGCAGGAGAAAGGTATTTATCAAGTTAAAGGTCGAGTTGCCTACAGTACTGCTATGTTTGTTGTGTATTTAATAATTCCCACAAAAAAACTAGGAGGCAGAGTTCTGTACCTTATTAATGAATTAATCATGATGCTCTTTTTGATTATTGTTAACGTATTTTATTTGAATATCATTAAAATAATTAAAGTACAAGTAGATTACTGTGTACTAAACACAACATGTCGTCCATAAGTGTGTAATAAATGATAAGAGAATATGCTACCTGTTACAGTATCGGGGGAACCATTGAGAATTCAATTGTTGCACGAAATTGCTAAAGCACATGGTTATTGTTTTAAAGTGGTAATACTTCATAGGAATTTCAGGCATTATTATTATTATTATTATTATTATTATTATTATTATTATTATTATATTTGTTGTTGTTATTTCATGTTTACTGTATAAACGAAATTTCAGCTTGATTTCAAACAAACGCAAACACAACCACTTTTATTCCGATTAACAAAAATAAGTAATGTCCAAAACTTATATGTATATATGTATAAGTATATATCAATTAGTAACCGCGGTTTTTAATAAGTATAGATTCTGTAAATCATGTTAACATACACACTCGCTTTACCATGTAGTTGGCTTTCTTTCCGTCATTCGGGTTTAATACGTTTGGTAGATGTAGTACACAGAAGTTCTGAAGAGCTTGATCTGCTAATACCTTGGTCACAGTTACATAACAGTAGGCTATTGTAAAAGCTAAGCAGATAATAATCCATACACAGGATTATATTTGTTTGGTTTTTCAAAACAAGACTGGAATTAATTATATTATTATTTTTTTAATCTAAAAAAAATAAGAAAAGCTTTGTGATGACTAAATGTGCAGGCAGTATTACCTTCATGGTTAATTTTGCTATCTTTTTGACAGCGTGCGAGAATGACCAAGTCATACACAGAGGGGGGCATGATGCCGGAGTCCCAGAGTGCTTCAAATTGGACTGATGAATGTCTTAGTTCCCAAGATGAGCACGATATGGAAAAGAAGAATGAGGACCAAGAGGAGATAGGCAAGGATGATGATGTAGATGATGTAGATGGCCTCAACCGACTCGAAGATGATGACGACGACGAGGAAGATGAGGAGGAAGATGGCGACGATCAGAAACCCAAGAGACGCGGGCCGAAGAAGAAGAAAATGACAAAAGCTCGACTCCAGAGGTTTAAAATTAGACGCATGAAGGCGAACGCGCGGGAGAGGAACCGCATGCACGGGCTCAACGATGCGCTCGAGAGTTTGCGTAAAGTTGTGCCGTGTTACTCGAAAACTCAGAAGCTCTCAAAAATAGAGACACTAAGGCTGGCTAAAAATTATATATGGGCTCTTTCTGAGATTCTACGTTCGGGTAAGAGTCCAGATTTGATGTCCTTTGTGCAGGCCCTATGCAAAGGATTATCACAGCCAACCACTAATTTGGTAGCAGGTTGTCTCCAGCTGAACCCCAGAACTTTTCTTCCAGAGCAGAGTCAGGACATACCCCCTCATATGCAAACAGCCAGTGCTTCCTTTGCTACTCATCCCTATTCTTATCAAACCCCTGGTCTTCCCAGCCCGCCATATGGTACAATGGACAGCTCCCACGTTTTTCACGTCAAGCCGCATTCCTACGGAAGCGCACTGGAGCCGTTTTTCGAATCTGTACTAACAGACTGCACTAGTCCCTCATTCGACGGACCTCTGAGCCCCCCTTTAAGTGTGAACGGGAACTTTTCATTCAAGCACGAGCCGTCTTCAGAGTTCGAAAAGAACTACGCCTTCACCATGCATTACCCAGCGGCAGGTCTGGCGGGACCGCAGGCTCACCCGTCCCTTTACGCGAGCTCCGCACAGCGTTGCGAGATACCGATGGAAAACATCATGTCATATGACGGACATTCTCACCATGACAGAGTCATGAACGCGCAACTGAATGCTATATTCCACGACTAACGAGTACAGTGACACACTGTTAAAGACTGTCTGAAAGCATTTACGCATTTGGATTTCACTGATGCAAAAGTGCAAATATTACATGCTTAAACTTATGTACGTATTTATTATTGTTACTGCCTTTAGGTGAGGTTGGAATGAACACTCCTGTTCGCCTTATGTATTATACTCTATAGCGCTTCTATATGACGGTCACAATGGGAAATCGAAGTGGTCGTATTCCGAATGTTATAATAATATCATCCATGTAACAAAATCACAAGCAATAATTTGGAAACTATGCAATTTTTAAACAGATAATGGGCCAATCGAGAAAATTAACAAAGATATATATTTTTTTCAACTACATTTTACTACTAGTCTATTCCATACTGAATTATTTTGCTGTGATTTTGTACAGAATTCTTAATTAACTTTTATAAGGTCAAGTTCCTATTTTATCCCATGCAACTCCATCAATGTTTTATAAAATAATAGAGGTATGTCTTGTTTATACGAAACAGTGATGATGGTAGTAATAATGCTATGATTTAACCAGCGGGAAAGTGCTCAGTTATATGTTAAGTTGCCTTGGCACTTTTTTACTGTAAAATCAAGCAAGGTTGCAAAAGGTTGCACAAATCATCTAATTTTCTTTAAATTTCTGTTTTCCTTAAGAATCAAAAAAAATAATTATATGGGTGGACGCTAAGACGCTTCCTAGAAGTTATAAAGTGCGTCATCTTTTCTGGGTGATTCCCTATGTACAGAAAAAACGCTTGACTATCACTTGAAGTTTAGTTGCCCTATTTTTAGCTGTACAAATTAGACAGTAATCACAGCTGTCCCCCTCGATTCTGGAAAGAAATCCCTGGACTTGAATAAGAAACGTAATATAGCGGAATAGATATTGCATGTACAAATGCGGTTCAGAATAAGTGCTGTTTGAGGTGTAATGCCGGTTCAACTTAATGAAATTTGTATTGTATTTTTGTTTGTTAACTTGTACAATATGATGTAATGCCACATCGCATTGAGGCTTACAACGCATTTCTTATCTATTTAAATTGCAGATAGTGTTGAATATTTGGTCAAAAGTTACATTTCTCCTTCGATGTGATTTCTTAGTGTACGTAATTCCTATGGGATTATTGTTTTTATTTTGATAGCTCATAAAAGGCGCGAATGATTATTTGTAGAATAAAGTCCATAATTAAAATTTTTCCACTTACGTGTGAATTTGTTATGGATATATTTTGAAGTTCACAATACATGAAATTATAGTTTGAAAAAAAAAAACACACAAAACGCCAGTGCGCACACTGGACAAAGTAAATGATATAGTAACAGTTACTTCGTGTTCCCAAATCGTGTTCCCAATTGTTGATAAATATTGACAGGTGGTTCAGTATTCAGAAAGAACACCGTAGTTTATTTATTCAACTTAAACAGACATTCATATATATTTCTTTGGTCTATGTGCACAGTAAAACTATTTCTTATGTTACTAATAAACCTGCAAAAACGAACAAGCATGTTTGTGTTTATTTGGCTATTTATTTACTGAATTTGCCGTCAGTAAAACTCAAGATAATTCAACCCATGGCCTATTAGTCCGAAGGAAACAAAAATCAATAAAAGTAAGCACTATGTCGTATGTCCTGCTTATGAATTTAAAGGAAATGTATGCTTCTCTGTATTTGGTACTGACACAGTAGGACTTAATGACGTCCTTGAACAGAATTCATGGGGCTCGACTTGGCGACCCCTCGCTTGTTTCAACCTGCATGTGCCTTTCAGGCACACTGACTCTCAGCGCTGCTTACTTTCACCTACTGCCTTGATTGCATCCACCGTGTATGCTGAAGATAGATGCGAATTAAGTATCCTGAGAATATGCACTTGGCATCATTCGTTCCCCCCACGGCAGTACTTTAAATCATATTTGCATATTCCGCTTTCCCTCGCATAGTCCTAAAGCCACAATAATAGGGCATGCTTCCCATCAATAATTCAACTCTTAAAACAAGACTTTTTGTATACTTATTTTATCCGTGTTATTTTATATTTTTATTTATACTGCAAAATGAGAATCAATGACACCGAAGAACGAATACCATTAGGAAGCGATTCTCTGAATGACGTAATAAATCAAGAAATCAAATGTACTTGTCAACCACTGACACCGATTTCAATAATACGGAAAGGGATTAACGTGACACATAAACTGTTTAAATAGGACAATTGCGTATATGAGCTAAGGTAACCAGAGAGTGCATACGCCTCTAACGTAAGTTTATGTTTATAAATAGCTCAAGGACAAAATAAACGGCTATTCTCAACGCCATGGATTGCTGTAGACAGTCGAGGGGCATCCGCATGCCACCATCTTTTATGCAAAGCGAGGGAGGCACAGATGTTACTTCTGCAGGGGAGATTTTAATTTATGAAAATTATCTTGTTTATGCATGAACACTCACTGCATAGCACAGTACTTCCATCAGATGGGAAAATACCATAGAGTCAATGCCAATATCTGGAACATATTCTGCTGATTTATGCTCCTTAAAACACCCCAGAACACACATTTTCTTCCCTGTCAAACGTATTTTGACCCTCGCATTATTTAATAACAATTTGCATTTTCGTACCACTAACCCATTAGCAACTAGATCGTCCCGATCACAACATACCGAACTTATCACTTATTCACCATATTCCCAGAACTTGCTCCATGTATCAGTTTCGATTTTTAACCTCCGTGAATGGCAATTTTCGTATTTACTTCAATGCACTCAATGTTCGGGTTTTGATCTGAAACTTCATGTGAAAAATATGAAGTGACTGGTGTGAAGGACAGGTGTCCCGCTGTAAACTCCACTGCATAAAGTACAGTATGGTCACGCTCTAACGCCTCATTCAAGAGCTGTCCATGGTGCTAAAAGTATCATCACACCGTATGAATGTAGGCCTGTCAAGGCACAAATCCATGCAGCATCTATTGGTACCGCAATAACAAACAACAATCAACAAACAATGTTGATAACACGTTGAGCTATGTAGACAGTTGAGTCTAAAAATATCAATACTACTCACACTGCATTTAGGTCCCTTACAGAATTACTTCATAAGTTTATCCCATACGTACTCAGATATAATCGTAATCCCTAAAAAAGCCTGACATTTAAACAGGAGCTTTAAACGCTCCAGATGATAGCGTTCAAATCTATCATATTTATCGGAAATTTGATTCTCAGTTCTTTCTCTTTATTATTGACTAATGTTAGATAATGATAATCATATATACGCGACAAATGATATTTTTCACTTTAATTTTTAAGTAGTAATATAGCATTCACCCATACTTCACCCATACAGAGCACAGACAATATTATTTAAACACTTCAATATATTTACTTTTACTATTCGGTGTAACACATTTATTATGGCGCTGGCGTTACCATAATCTGCCACACTTGCCGAAAACATTTAAGCTTTGATATTAAATAACGGGTCATTAGGTGCGAGGTAAGCAGGCAGTTGCGATGCGCGTAACCGGAACGGTCGGACGTTTTCGCGGGGACGCGCGTTGCTGTAAGACGCTCAGGGTAGGCCGAAGAGGAAGTTCCGCAGCAGAACTATGCGGGAGCGGGGAATGACGGGGACGCGCTGACCTGATAATTCATGCGACAACACTGATTGTCGGGAAGAAATTTGCTTGCTACAGATTTTTCTGAATCATGTTTGAGTCCCCTCGAAAATCTACAAATCGACATGCGTGGTCGGAAAGCCAGGAGGAGTTACGAGAAACGCAACCGGTGTCTCCTTTGAAAACAGGCAGTCGTGGAAGGAAGAAAAAGAGAAAACAGCACAAGCAGCATCAACAACATCCACAACGCCAGCAACGATCGAATCGTTCCGTGTCCATCCCTCGGCTGCGCACCGGGAAGCCCTCGGCACTGACCTTGGGGAAAGGCGCTGCGTTTAACGCCGAAGACGCGATAGTAAAAGGGATATTTGAAATAGAAAAAAAGAGTTGCGACGTAGTGCTGACGGCGACGAGGGTAATATGGACTCCGATCGAGCCGGAGACCCCTACAGGTGGGTTGCGGAGTTTCCGTCGTTTCCATGACAACGCTCTCGCGTGCGTCGGACCTCCTCCGATGGCGTAGCGGTGACACCGAAATAGCAGCGCGCCCCATTTTTTGACGTTGTCACCGCAAGGTGCGGTCTAAATGTGTGAAATAACAAAAAACCCTGTCATTTAACATGTAATAAACTCTTTCAGTTTTAGCATTTTCTATGGAGTGAAGGGAACAGTTAAGTAAATACAGGTCAGTAAACACATAAAGACAAAAGTGTGCATTCGTGTTGTGTTAAAAAAAATAGGCATGGGCTAAGAATAAATAACTATGATTCATTTGTAATTAGGATAACAGAGTTATACTGTAAGCAGTATAAATAATTGCATAATGAAGCTGAATATATAAACACATAATATATGAATATACACAAACCGTCCCAAAATATACCACTAAGCCCAGTTCTCCCCCCCGCCATCATGTTATGCAAGATAGTGATTGCTTTATTTAAATATTTGCACAAGAAGCTTACCTACAGACTAGCCTCATATTATATGGATGTGCGTACAGTTCCCCAAGAGTGTGATGGGTTCACTAAGGGTGAAAAATCATTGGGGATACTTACATATTATTGTGTTATGGAGGGCAGGTGTAGTTTTCTGCTTGCTCAGTGCTAGATTATGGGGATGAAGTCAGCGGAGAGAAGAGGTTGTACTGATTGCATTGCCACTAGCAGCTTGACACTTGTGTTTGTGCACCCAGCTGCTTTGGCCTTTATTGCACAAATATTGTTACACCACATATTGCGTTCCTTTTTCTTTTTTTTTCTGGTAGTGGGAATGTATAAAATGCTCATGTATGGGAACAATGCGTCACTTATTCAGTCGGCCCCTCCAAGTTGGGGACAATGGCCACGGTGAGTGAGCTGAATCTGGGCCTTTGTGTGGGTTGACTGCGTTTTGAGGAGATTGTCAACTGATACAGGGCAATGAAATGGGAGTCAGTTGTCACTGCTTGCAAGTAGCCCCTGAGACAGCATGTGAAATGAGCCCCCTGGGAGGGCTGGGGGTGGGCGGCAGACTGGGACAGATGCTCAGGTTGAGTGGGGTATCTCCAGGGGTCTTACAGGTAGCACTTCATAAAATTATTTACTTTAATGTCACCATCACATGCTGATAAATTAACTGCATGTGATTGAACTATTTGCATTTAAAAACAGAAGGACAATCAGTCCGTGTGTATGCATGGTAGACTTGCAAAATTCCATTATATTGTAATTTATAAAAACATCACACATTGAGAAACATAGATGGATAAAGGGATACCTTCTTGTGTCAAGAATACGTATGATATTTAGGGATTGTTAATGAACCATTTCTGTGATTTACAGACTCGGTTTAGCCACTGGTTGACGTTGCAGCAGCAATACTTAAATTTAGTGGCTGGATTTATTTATTTAATTTTTTTTGCACCAGTATAACAATTTTCAACAAGCCATCACCTTCTGCTTTAACCTTTGAAGCGGCGTCTTTCACTATTGTATGTTGATAGCATACATTTTTTTCTGAAGTCTTTGATTTGTTTTTGAAATTGAAAGACTCATTAAACTTGTAGTAAATAAATATTAAGAGTCATCAATAATGATTATAAGGAAAAAACGATATCTAGAACAGAGTGAGGGCCTATTTTGGTTTTCCTGGACCAATGGCCTCTCACCCCGTATCACCCCCCCCGTGGAAATAAAGTAGTTCTTCATTCTGAGTAATAAGGGTTATTATTTTTCTTTTGACAACTTAGTTTTTACACTGGTGGAAGGGTGATGATTTTAAAGCTTCAACGTCTTTAGCTATTTTAATTGGAGTTTGAGTGCTTTTTCCAGATTCCGTAAATGGGTCTGCTTAGTCTTGCAGCATATTGTGCCGGAACACCGGCCCTTTTAACATATAACTTGATTTGTGAAAAAAATCGGCTTACATGTGTAGTGTGAAACAGAACCCCAAAAGAAAAGAAATGAACCATATTGCCAAAAGTCTTGTGTAACAGATGTGCTGAAAAGAGACACCAGCCAACTGTTGTGAGCCTAAAGTACGGCATCTGCCAGACTTGTGGACAGTTAGCAGAATGTCCAGGCCAATGACACTCAGCAAAATGATTAGGAGTCACTGTGTTATACACAACGGCAATGTTAATATGTGAAGGAAGAAAATCAGGCAATATCATAAGAGCTGACATCGATGAATTTTACAGGCTCGAAATTCTCCAGAAATTAATCAAGTGTTTTATTTTTACAGCAATGTATGTGTTGTTGCAAAATGCAGACAAGATTAAATTCTATGCATTTTTAAGTTTTAATTCGTATTTGGTCCATGGATTGAGTTATTTTGTTGTTATCCAGATGTAGGGTTTGCTATATGCCATTAATAAACCATCATCATTACAGTATGATAAACTAGGGCGAAACCTGACATAAAAATACATTGAGCGTTATGGTTTATGGCATATTGTCACAGTCGCGGAGGGTAACTGACTCGTGTAAGACAATCTGTAGCTGAAGTGCATCGTGTGCTTGTGGAGGATGGCATTTATTGTTCTGTTTTCTCGATTCCCCGTAGCAGAGGCGCTGCGTGGCCCGAACGCGGATTTATTTTGCTTAAGCTTTATGGACAGTGTTTTTGTAGGAGAGTAAGCCAACGCCATTAACTCAGCACTCTCATTACAAAGAAAGCATCCATCTAGTACCCCCATGGTCTTCACCAAATGCTATCACAAAACTGCCAAAACATGACAGGGAGGCGTGGATTCACCACAGCTCCCAGTTTGACGGCTATAAGGCCCCTCTTCCGCTTGGGGAAGGGCTTATCCTGCTTGTGTCGCCTGTCCTTCATGTTTAGTGAAAATCACAGTGACCCTCGTGGCATGTGCAGTTTGTGTCAAGTGGGATGGTTAAATTATGACCTTGAAATAAAGAATCAGTTCTTTAGAGGCTATAGAAAATGTTGATTCAAGTGGAATTATATTTAATATTAATGTAATTATCTAATAAAATAATGTCAGGTAGCCCCATCCTGGGTTGTTCACTGCCTTACCCATGTAACCTCCAGGATAGGCTGCGGACATCCCGCGACTCTGGACGGGATAAGTGGTTTCAGTAAATGGATGGATGGATAATGTCAAGTATCACTGCATTTACTATGAATAAAACATTAATATTTTATATATATTAAGAGTAGAATTGTGTTTATATTTAAAAACTTGAATGAATGTGGTTGCATTGTTTTTTCCCCCTATCTCAAGGGACTAAGGCAGTGTCATCTTTCTAAGCTAATTTGAGAAGATTAGGTGCAAGTAGTAAGTGTTAAAGGAAGCTTTTGTGTGTGATGCTTGGATTGTAGGAGGCGTTGTGTTTTCGTGACCCGTGGAATTCCCAAACCTGCAGCTAGCTCTGTGTGCGGGTAGAGAACCTGATTAAATTCGAATGCTTCTTCTGGCGTGTTTGGAAGAGCCGGCAGATTAGTCATGCTTCCGTTTGGCTGTGGTGAGGACACGAGCGAGCGCTCGGCTTTCTGTCAGCTGCTGGTTGCTTCCTGTGCTTTTCAGCAGCCGATTTGAACTCGATCGCGAACGGATCAATCCTGGATCGAGAGCACGGCTCAGACTTTCAGCAGCAGCCCTCTGTTGCTGAATGCCAATCTGTGGTACTTTTCACAGATTAGTAAATGACTGGAGAAAAGTGGGATGTTCGGAATAGAAATTTCCCAAGGCGAAATCAAAATCAGGCGCTTACAGCAGTGTAGAACTTATTATATAACATCAACGATATCGCAAAATAAGCCCATTATAGCAATATCACAAGAAGGGAAAATTTGGATCTTTTAACAGTTACAGATATTTAGCTTGTATTTCAAAGGTTCTGCAAACCCAGACAGTTTTGTCAATTTAGGTTGACTCACGCAAAGCTCATGTAACAACTGATCACGCAGAATGAAAAAACTGAGCCGATTATTGTTTAATCCGCCTGCAAATCTTTGCAGACTATAAATAGAGATTATCATGTATTTTGTTGAAAGAGCCCGTCAGCACGGTGCTACGTGTAACTGCGGTGGTTATATAAATCACTGTTATCCTTATGTAATAGTTTTACAGTGAATTGCATTTATAAAATGATTCTGTCACATGACGTTTGGCCTAAAACTGACTAAATTGTTTTTAAATTGTTCATGATCACAAATTCATGCTAAGATTTCGCCATTTCACGTATCAAGATTTTTTTCTGGACTTCCCGCTGGAAATTTTCTTATATAAGTTTCCCAGGCAGCAGTTTGTCCATATGTTTTCAGGGAACGTATTTTACGATCGTGACCTTTCGCTGTTAACACGCGTGTTCCTCTCGCTGCTTTATCCATGAATACGATACATACTGGTGTCTAGCGGACCTAGTGGAAGCAGCTTGACTGAATTTCATTTAGTCCATTCAGTCATTCAGAATGGCTTTTAGGTGAACTGCTGATGTGCATTTGACAAGTGCAGAGTCTCTATGGATGAGTCTGATGGCCTTCATAAGGTATTTTAATGGAAGATGCGGGTCTTCCAGAACATCCTTCCTGCAGGTTTGTGGGGTTTGCCAGTTTAATGAGGCCATCTTTCTCCTCATCTACGCCGCTGGTCAGACTCGGATTTCAGGAACTAATTGCACTGCGGATGTTATTTGATCTTGTTTTTCTTTTCTTTTTTTTGCCCAGTGAGCACAGAAAGTGAAAAAAAAAAAATTATTCAGTCACCCTGTCTCCCGTAAGCTGCTAAGGACTCAACATGGATGTTATCTGTGAATGTCAGTCACACGGTGCCACTGCTGTGAGCAATTTAATTTTCTCTTTTATTTATTTGGTGTAGAAAATATGTGTAGGCAGCTACATACTACCACATGTTGCCAAGATATGTAGCAAAATATGTTTAATGCATAATAAAACTGCTCAGATTAAATTAAATGTGTAATTAAATTGTAATATGCATCTCTCACTT